CGGCCGAGGGTCGGGGCCCTGGCCGGGTTCTGGGGCGCCCAGCCCACGGGAAGAGCAGGGCGCGTGGGTGGGGGAGGGGCCGCCGTGGGAGACGTGGGAGGTCCCGTGGGCGCCGATGGGGGCGGCCTGGCGGGGTGCTGGCGATGCTGCTGGGTCTCCGTCAGAAGGGAGATCCCCTGGCTTCGGCCCTGCTGCCCCGTCCCTGCTTCCCGTGGGGCCGGGGGACACGGCAGCGGCAGGCCTGGCGAGGGGCAGACTTGACCGCGCACGGCGAGTCCAGGGCCACTGGGGGACGTCGGCCAAGGACATCTGGTGGGTGGTGGGGCCTCGGGGTGGACACTGGGAGGGCCTCCCAGCTCCGCCACTGGCTCCTCACTGCGGCCTCAGGTGAGCCCCTTGACCTCCCAGAATGGACTCACTTGCCAAACAGGGCTCGTGATGTCCGCCTCTGAGACAAGGCCCAGCCACAAAGCATCAGCCCAGCAGGAACTCGGTCAATGCTGGACACAGGCAGGGCATGAGGCCGCGGGGGGGGGGGCATTAGGAGGCGGGGCTGCTGGGAGATGAGAGTGCTGATAACAACGGGCTTGAAGCACACGGGGAAGCCACCCCCAGGCCAGCGTGGTGCTCAGGGCTCACACGCAACAGAGGCTACGACCTCTGCCCTGGGTCACACTTAGAAGCAGAGGAGGAGCCGGGCTCGGTGGCTCAGCCTGTCATCCCGCGCCTTTGGGAGGCTGAGGTGAGTGGATTGCCTGCACAGGTTCGAGATCCGCCTAGGCAGTGAGACCTCATCTCTACAATAAATCAAAAAAATCAACTGGGCATGGTAGCACATGCCTGTAATTCCAGCTACTTGGAAGGCTGAGGCGGAAGGATCGCTGGAGCCTAGCAAGTCAAGGCTGTGGTGGCCGGGAGCGGCCACTGCACTCCTGTCTGGGCGACGGAGTGATTCTCCAACTTGAAAAAAGAAGCAGAGGAGGGGCTGGGGCCCCAGACGTCAGACGCCGAAGCCCAGGCTGCGTCCGCTGCTTGAGCAGCAGGGCGGGCTGCAGAGGGCCTCTCGGACTGCCCCAAGTCCCCCTCGGAGACACGGCCACCACGCGGCAGGCCTGGGCGGCCCAGGAGCCTGCACCGGCAGCAGCACCTGCAGAGGCACCAGCCGGGTACGCGACACATGCCCATCGCGAGCCAGTCCACCAGGCGCCTGCTCTGGGCGAGTCCTGCTCTCGGCGCTGGGGATGCAGTCGTAAGCAGGGGCACAAACCCCGACCCTGAGAGCTTACGTTCCGGTGGGAGAGAGAAAACCCGAGGAAACACAGCGTGTCTGTGGGCGATACACGCGGAGACGGCAAGGCGGGAAGGGGAAGGGAGGAAGGCAGGGCAGGGTGCACAGGGGCTGCCACATCAGCAGGGAGGCTCGGGAGGCCGTGGCGAGCGCCCTTCCTCACCCCAACCGGGGGAGGGGCATGGGGGGCGACGGCCAAGGTCCCCGGCAGAGGGAGCCCCGCAGATCTGAGCACAGCCAGGAGTCGAGGGGAGGCGGGTGGCGAGAGTGGCAGGGGCGGAGGCCGGAGGTGGGAGGCTGACCGGGCAGGGCCAGCCTCTGGGGGCATGGGAAGATTTTGGAAGGGATGCCGCCTCCGCGTTCCTAGAGGACAGCTGGCTGCTGAGAAGGGACATGACGGGGAGCCGCGGGGATGGGGAGGAAGGGTCCAGGCGCCAGCACACGGCCCAGGGCGGGGGTGGGGAGGCGGGAGGGGCCGACCTCGATGCGTTCTGAGGGTGGCACCGATGTGCTGGGCGTGGGGGGAGACAGCACTTGAGAAGAATGTGTCACCTGGGCAGGGACAGGATGTCACTGTCTGCAGTGGAGATCTGGAAGGTGTCACCGGAACAGCGTGGTAGAAAGGCTGGGAGGTGACTTCTGGACATGTTAAGATGGGGTGCTGATGGCAGACGGATGCCTGAGCCGGGACCCAGGGCAGGGGGTCAGGTCAAGAGACAAGCCTCGGGGGCTGTCGCTGCATAGATGGTATGGAGAGCCAGTGGCCTGGCTGAGTCCCCAAGGGAGGGAGGGACAGAAGTGGACCCAGCACTGAGCGTGGGGCCCTCCCAGGCTGAGGTGGGAGCTGGAGCCCCGGGATTTAGGGCACAAATGCCGGGTCTTGGGAGCAGTGACGGGGCTCAGGGAGGGCGTGGCCAAGCTCAGTGAAGTCAAGGAGCTGGTAGAGCTGTGCCCTGGCAAACACTGGTGACGAGTGGGCTTTGTGGTGGAGACAAAGCCTGTTTGCAGAGAGTGGTACAGATAAACTTCAGGAAGTTTCACTGTTGAGGGGACGAGACGGGGCAGGAGCTGGAGGGGGTCATGAGGCTTCAGGATGACGGAAGTTACAGCGTGTCGTGTGCTGAAAAAGTGCCGTCGTCGGTGTGACAGGCAAGATTGGGCCCGGGCTAATGGAGCCTTGCCAGCTAGCGCCTACTGGGATAGGGGAAGGTGTGGCCCGGGACGGGGTGCCAGTGGTCAAGGCAGATGGCAGAGCTGAGTGAGAGCCTGGATGGGTCCTTTCTGTATAGGGGAAAAGACAAACCAGGAACCAGTCAGCACCGGTCACAACCCACCCAAGGGAAGCCACCCACCACTCCGCAGAGGGAAGCCCTGCACTGGAGGCAGGGGCGATGACCCACACCTTGGCCAGACTGAGGGGCACGGCAGGGTTTCGAACTCAAAGCCAAGGGCTTGGAAGGAGAAACCCAGGGAAGGCTGCTTGCAGGCGGGCCCTGTTCTCAGTCAGAAGGCTGGAGGGCGATTCTGGTTCCAAACAAAACACTGGCCAACCTCTTCCCTTAACGCTCTTTCCTTCTCTGTTGAAGGAGCCGTGGCAAGGCGCCCAGGGGACCACCAAGCCCACAGAACCATCGGCTGCCTCCCAAGGATGCTTTCCAGAGCTGCTCCATCTCGGGCTACGGCCACTCCTGGAGAGGCACCAACTCCTGAGGACCACCTGGCTGTGGGAGCACAGCCTTGGGGACAGTAACTGCCTGGTGCCGAGGTGGGAGCCCCGGGATTTAGGGCAAGTTGCAGCCCTGTCCCCATGTCTAAAAGTTTGACACGGGCTTCGTGTCCTTTTCTGTTTTGGATGTGGAACGCAAATTGCTACTGTCAGTTGATGGGATACTCTACGGTGGATAAGCTTGTATAATTAATTTATATAGGTTGAGCCATATTTAATATCCTGAATCTCAGGGTAGATTTGTCTTGTCTCTTACAAAGCATTACGTGTACTCACTTTCAGCACCCGGGTGGGCGGGGCCCGGCTCTCCTCTGCCTGCTGGAAGGGGCCTCCCCTTCTTCCGGGGCTCCGTTCACTCAGGTAGAAATGAGGCTCTCGCCATCTTGATGACCCTTCCATGAAAATGCCACCTGCTGTGGACAGTAGCTCCCCATGGTCTGGAGAAGTGGCCAGAGCCGCCAAAGTCCCCTCGGCCAGGAGCGGAGCCCCTCACTGTCCCAGAACCCTCCCCTCTCTATTCCAGGGCAGGCCGCAGCTGAGCTGATGGGGCTACAACGTGACTGTCCCATGGGCAGGGCCGGTGCCCAGAGGGAACCTTGAGTTAGAAATGCCAGGCAGGGAAACAAAACCCCTCTCAATAAACCACTTCAGTTCAAGAGCAGCTGCTCTCCTGGGTCTCTTTCCCTGTCTCGGGGAGAAAGCCTTTTCAGGGAATGAAGTGCAAGCCTCCTGTTTCACAGAAAGGGACCCAAGGCCGGGGAGCTGGGTCTGCAGACAGGAGATCCCCGAGTCCAGCCCTCTTCCCAGGATGCCACACCGATTCTTTCTGTGAGAAGAAATCCAAGCCCCGAGTTGGGGAATCAAAAGAAACATCTAGAACCTGACTGTCGACCACTTGTCACTGCAGATCCAGCAGCCCTGGCCTCACAAGCTCGGATGCAAGAGCCTCTACCATGAGCTCAGGCCTAAGTGAGGAGCAGGGGGCTGTGGGCACGCCAGCCCTGGAGAAAACACCCGGGGCGTGGCCTCCGTCACCAGCTGGGGAGCCCAGATGCCTCTCGGGCCCACTGTCCTTGCCTGCAAATGGGGATCTCATCCTTCCTGCCCTCACGGGGATCATGAGGCTCAAGAAAAACTACAACTTGCTGTTTTTTATTTTTTTGAGTTGGAGTCTCACTCAGTCGCCTAGGCTGGAGTGTAGTGGCACACTCCCGGTCACCACAGCTTCAACCTGCTAAGCTCTGGTGATCCTTCCGCCTCAGCCTTCCAAGTAGCTGAAACCACAGGCACGCACCACCATGCCTGGCTGATTTTTTGATTTATTGTAGAGATGAGGTCTCGCCAAATTGCCCAGGCTGGTCTCGAACCCATGGGCTCAGGCAATCCTTTCACCTCAGCCTCCCAAAGTGCTGGGACTACAGGTGTGAGCCACCATGCCCAGCCCAACTTGCAGTTTTTGAGGCCTTTGATTAATGTTTCCCCTTGATGGAAACCCTAACCCAAATATCCAGATGGCTCTTGCCTCCTGGCCCGAACTCGTAGCAGCGAGGGCAGGACCTGTCAGCACTTCTGCTTAGTGCTGTCCCTCCCAGGTAGCTTTAGTTCCCTGCCTGGACCATACTTGAGTGGTGACACTAACGGAGAAGTCCCCGAGATCACTGGATATTTGGGTGAGGAGAGGAGCGCACAAGGGTCTGCCTGGCTGCCTTGGTGCTCGGTGCACACCGCTGCCCGCGGAAGACACAGGGCTTTGCCCAAACCTTTCCACACAAGACCAGCAAGCAGGGAAGCCACGTCACCTCCCACTCCCTTAAAACGCCTTCTCCAGCCACACCTGGGGTTGCTTCACTATGATTTATGGGAAGCAGGAGACAGCGACAAGCATGACCCTGTGTGGCCAGCCCTGTGTGGGTAGAAGATGGATATGTGCCGGCTCACCATGTCATTCTCTCTACTTTTAGATATCATTGAAATTTTAATTTTAAAAAGTGGAAGAAAACAGTGCCTTGCAAGAAAAAAGGTAATTCTGCAAATTAATATATTCACTAGGGGATTGGAAAGGGAAAGCTGGGAGTACACCGAGCGCGCAGGCAAGGCATCCTGGCGGCGTTTCCCCAAGGGCTCAAGCTGCGACGCAGCTCCACAGCCCCAGCCAAGCCCTTCCGAAGGAAGTTACAGCAAACCCTGCCCCTGTCCCATGGAACTCATCCCCTCGGGCTGACTCACGTGTCCAGTCTATGATCTAATGGCCTTTCCTATTTGGAGGACGAGCGGGGCAAGCAGAGACAGGAAGCTGGTTTCCTTGAGGCCTCACGTGGTTACCCGTGGCCAACAGACACTAGAAGGTTTTATTAGCTGAAATGTCAACCCACACACAGATCAGGCGCCCCGCCCCTGAGCTCCCTCGGGGCTCTTCCACCCTGGCAGTGCATCAGTGAGTCTAGGTCAAACGCAAACACTCTGAAGTGGAGATGTGGTAAAAGCAAAACGAAAGCCACCGAGTGGTGCCGGCTGGTGCCATCCAAGGCCTCATGTTCCCCATTCCCCATCACAAGGCCATCACTCCGGTATGTGAGGGACAAGGACCCTTGCAACTGTACCAGTAAAGTCTCTGCTCTAACTGGCTACCGGTGCCATTGTTTTCTGACACAGCCTGGCCAGCAGCCCTGCCATCTGCAGAAGGGAGTTCACTCCTTCTGCTACTTTCATATGCGTGTATCCGATTTCCTGAAAAACAAACCACATTTAAATTTGGTGAATAAATGAGTTTTTTAAAAATCTGAACTAATGGTTTGGTCAAAAGCAGTCCAATAAACACAAATCCCAGCTGAATACAATGCATTATGTTTAAGTACAAGTTTAGTTTGTTTCCTAAAAGGATGCTGATTATTTCTTTGAAAGATACTGTTAAGAAAATGAAAAAACGACAACAACAACAAAAAAACACCAGGCTGGAGGAAAACATTTACAAAAATTGTATCTAGGGCCAAGCTCGGTGGCTCAGTCTGTAATCCCAGCACTCTGGGAGATCGAGGTGAGTGGACTGCCTGAGCCCACAGGTTCAAGACCAGCGTGGGCAACTTGGCGGGACCTAGTCTCTATAATAAATAAAAAAATTAGCCAGATGTGGTGGCACACGCCTGTGGTTCCAGCTACTTGGAAGGCTGGAAAGATCACCTGAGCCCAGTAGGTCAAGGCTGTGGTGGCTGTCAGCATGCCACCGTACTCCAGCCTGGGTGACAGTGAGACACCAACTCATTAAAAAAAAAAAAGTATCTGAGTTGGGCGTGGTGGCTCATGCCCGTAAATCCCAGCACTTTGGGAGGTGAAGGCGAGAGGATTACCTGAGCCCAGGGGTTCGAGACCAGACCGGACAACTTGGTGAGATCTCGTCTCTACAATAAATCAAAAAATTAGCCAGATGTGGTAGTGCACACCTGTGGTTCCAGCTACTTGGAAGGCTGAGGTGGAAGGATCACCTGAGCCCTGTAGGTCAAGGCTGCGGTAGCCAAGAGCGTGCAGTGCACTCCAGCTTGGGCAACAATTGAGATTCTGACTTAAAAATAAATAAAAATGTATGAATATCTGATAATATTTGATAAAGGATTTATATCTAGAATATATAAAGAATTCTCTTTTTTTTTTTGAGTTGGAGTCTCACTCTGTCGCCCAGACTGGAGTGTAGTGGCCGCTCCCGGCCACTGCAGCCTCAACCTGCTGGGCTCCAGTGATCCTTCAGCCTCAGCCTTCTAAGTAGCTGGAACTACAGGCATGCGCTACCACGCCCAGCTGATTTTTGATTTATTGTACAGATGAGGTCTCGCCAAGTTGCCGAGGCAGGTCTCGAACCCGTGGGCTCAGGCAATCCACTCACCTCAGCCTCCCAAAGGCGCGGGATTACAGGCTGAGCCACCAAGTCCGGCTAATTTTTTGATTTATTGTAGAGATGAGGTCTCGTCAAGTAGCCCAGGCGGATCTCGAACCCGCAGGCTCAGGCAATTCACTCACCTCAGCCTCCCAAAGCGTGGGATTACAGGCTGAGCCACTGAGCCCGGCCTATAAAGAATTCTTAAAACTCAATAATTAAAAAGCCACAATTTAGAAATGGGTAGATTGGAACAGATGTTTCATCAAAGATAACTACAAATGGCAAATAAGCACATGAAAAAATGTTTAAGATCATTAGGTATGCACAATAAAGCCACATCCAGACTAAAACACCTACTAGAATGACTTTAAAAAGCCCAGCTGAACACTCCTCATGCACCTGGGATATGGGCTCTCTGGAATGATGGTGAGAACACAAAACACTACAGCTACTTTTGAAACCAGTGTGGCAGTTTCCTCTAAAGTTAAACATACACTTTCCATTTGACCAAGCAATCTCACCCCTGGGAATTTACCCAAGAAAACGAGAACTTATGTTCACTTTCACACTAATTCTCATATGCAAATATTTACAGCGGCTTTATTCAGTCACCAAGATCTGCAAACCCACGTCTTTCTGGTGAACACAGAAGCAGACTGTGGTATGTGCACATAATGGAATACTACTCAAGTGATAAAAAGGCGAAGTTCTGCATGATTCCATTTATATGATATTCTGGAAAACAGAAACTAGATTGGTGGCTTCCAGGTGTCAGGGGAAGAGCTGACTTCTAAGGGGCGCATGGATTTTTCTGGGGTGACAGAGTGTATCTAGACTGTGGTGGTGTTTATGTGACTGAATGCTTTTGTCAACAGAATGTACCCGAAAGGATGAATCTTACTCTGTGTAAATTAAGCCTCAGTTAATCTGACTTTAAGTACTAATGAATCGATAAGGGAACCTCTAACAAAGAGAGTCATCCCAAGGGACACTCAGGTCACTGACTGGCAGAACTGGGCGAAACAAACTCAGGCCTAAGGACAATCAGCAGCCCTGATATAGTTTGGATATCTCCGAATCTCACGTTGAAATCTGATCTCCAATGTTGGAGACAGGGCCCAATGGGAGGTGTCTGGGTCACAGGGTAGATCCCTCACGAGTGGCTTACTGCTGTCCTCACAGTTACGAGTTCTCTCCGAGTTCCCTCAAGAATTGGTTATTTAAAAGAGCCTGGCCCCATACCCCTTGCTGCTTCTCTGGTCATATGATCTTGGCACGGGCTCCCTTCCCCTTCCATCATGAGTGGCAATAGCACTGGCCAGAGACCCTCGCCAGAAACAGATGCTAGCACCAGGGATCGTACACAGCCTGCAGAACCATGAGCCAAATGAACCTCTTTTCTTTATAAATTACTCCGCCTCAGGTATTCCTTTATATAATGCAGGCAGGCTGAGATGTGCCCTACCTCCTCTTGCTGTCTGGGAACACTTACTTCCTGAGCACCTTCTGGCGCCAGGGCTTGGAGCAAAACAAAGACAACAGTGCCATGGCCCGTGTTCTTGAGCCTGAAGCACTTCTACCCTCACTGACCTTGATAAACTCCAGTTTCAAGTATTCCGCCATTTGGAAAGTTTTACACACTCGAAAGACGTTGCCGATGACATCTTCTGGTGAGTAGCCCAGATGCCACAGGTGAGCAAGAATCTAGACAAAAGAAGATACATGAGGCGTTTTAACTTTTTTTTTTTTGAGTTGAGTCTCACTCCATCGCCCAGGCTAGAGTGCAGTGGCACGCTCACAGCTACCCCAGAGTCGACCCGCTGGGCTCCAGCGATCCTTCCGCCTCAGCCTTCCAAGTAGCCGGAACTATAGGCACATGCTACCAGTCCTGGCTAACTTTTTGATTTACTGTAGACATGAGGTCTTGCCAAGTTGCCCAGGCTGGTCTCTGAACTTGTGGGCTCAGGCAATCCTCTCACCTTGGCCTCCCAAAGTGCTGGGATTACAGGCTTGAGTCACCGCACCCAGCAAAGCTGTTTTACTCTTTAAACTACAAGAAACCGGTCGGGCATGGGGGCAGGGAAGTTTTGTGTTGAAAATCTGAAGACTTCTTTCAGGCCCACTCAGTGACCAGCCTGTGGGTTTCCCTGCCTTACACTCTAGTTTCACACTAGGCGCAGCCTTGCCCTGACCCAGTCAGCTTCGGACCTAGTTTATTGAGAGGGCCAAGGGAACGAAACCTATGATCAGACTAATAACCTTAAGTCACATCATTGTTACTTATTTGACTTGAGGTCACCCAAACCCCAGTCATGCCTGCTGGAATCTGCTCACAGGACTAGGCCCTACAATCAGGTTAGAATCCTTCTGGTTCTTCCTCTCTTGGCTGACTGGGACTGCTGGGTCCCAGAATGCCCGCTGCCATGTTTCTCAGGAGAATGGAGGGGGACCCCTTCCTGCTACCAGGGGGAAGATGGCTTCACTGGAAAAGGAGTTAGGCTAGTCTTTCCTCATGACCTAGGTTTACAAATTTATCTTATGGATGATACAATTGTAGTAGAAAGACAGCATTTTAAATTCCAGGTCTATTGCTTTTAATGGTGTGATTTAGGACACAGACTTCTGCCTTTCTGAATCAGTTTTCTCATCTGTAAAGAAGGTCCAACTCCTAGTGTGTTGTTTTTGTTTTTGAGTTGGAGTCTCACTCTATCACCCATGCTGGAGTGCAGTGGCATGCTCACAGCCACTGCAATCTTGACCTACTGGGCTCAGGAGATCCTTCTGCCACAGCCTTCCAAGTAGCTGGAACTACAGGCACATGCCACCATGCCCGGCTAATTTTTTTAAAATTTATTACAGAGATGAGGTCTCGTCAAGTTGCCCAGGCTGGTCCCGAACCTCTGGACTCAGCCTTGAGCTACCACACCTGGCCCCTAGTGTGATTTTAAGAATTAAGTAGAGTGGCTGGGCTTGGTGGCTCAGCCTGTTATCCCAGTGCTTTGGGAGGCCGAGGTGAGTGGATTGCCTGAGCCCACGGGTTCGAGACCTGCCTGGGCAACTTGGCAAGACCTTGTCTCTACAATAAATAAATTTTAAAAGACTAGCCAGGCGTGGTAGCGTGCCTGTAGTTCCGGCTACTTGGAAGGCTAAGGCAGAAGGATCGCCAGAACCCAGGAGGTCGAGGCTGCGGTGGCCAGGAGCGTAACACTGCACTCTAGTCTGGGTGACTGAGTGAGACTTCAACTCAAAAAAAAAAAAAAATTCAGTAGAGTGATGTAAATAAAGTCCTAGTAACAGGTGCGGGGGGTGTGTGTGTGTGGAGGACAGGGCGGCTCTTCATATCCTGCCCAAGCGAAGGCTGTTCCTGAAGAGGAAAGGGGGAAGGAGGCCAACCTTGTAGGCTTCATCGATGTTGGCGTTCACACAGTGCTGGATCATCTCCTTCACCAGCAGGGGGTGAGGCTCGTCACAGACCTGGCCAATGGAAAAGAAAGGCGGGTCAGAAGCCAGGAGAGACATCTGACAAGGAAGCCCCAGTGGACCGACTTCTCAACTCGCTGATTTCATTGAATTCTCCAGCAACCTGAACGAGGTGTGAGACTGGACCTCTCATCACCAAATAGAAAAGCTTCCATGATTAAAAATTTCTCAAACACAAGATGAATGAACAACAAAGCACTCAGGGGCTAGTAAAGAACATTTGCTCAGGGGCAACTTTAAAGTCACCATGAGCCACCTGTCTTGGGTCACCTGGGGTGTTTTGCCCAGAACCACTTGGAACCCACTTAAGAAGTAGGAAGTCAGTTGGGCCAACTCCCCCCGTCCTCCAAAGTGGGAATCAGCTAGCTTTCCCTGCAAAGGGCCACCCAGCCCTAGCATGATACCCTCTAGGAGTCCAGCAGGCGGGTGGTGGTGTGGGGGCCCAGCCCTTCCTGAGCACCCTCACTGGTCTTAGGTTCTGCCCCTGGAGCAACATCGGCTTCTAAACCTTTCCAATGAAAACCTTCCACCAGGCCGGGCTCAGTAGCTCAGCCTGTAATCCCAGCACTTTGGGAGGCTGAGGCGAGTGGATTGCCTGAGCCCGCAGGTTTGAGACCTGCCTGGGCAACTTGGCGAGACCTCGTTATCTACAATGAATCAAAAATTAGCTGGGCGTGGTGGCATGCGCCTATAGTTCCAGCTACTAGGAAGGCTGAGGCGGAAGCATCGCTGGAGCCCGGCAGGTTGAGGCTGAGGTGGCCAGGAGCATGCCACAGCACTCTAGCCTGGGCAACAGAGTGAGGCTCCAACTCAAAAACAAAAAAAAAACATTCCACCGTCTCCAGGAGGTACCTATGCCTGCCCTTGTCTTGTCCTCCCAGCTGCACCATGGTTTCCAGAGGCCTTAGCACCTGCTCCAGGACAAAACAGGACCTGAACTGTCACTACCAGGTAGTGGCAGCCTTCCCTTTCCTAAGTGCTCCTGGAAATACGTTCATTGCGAAGGTCTACACAGATGTTTTTAATACAGCAGCTTCCCTTACCCATAAACCTAGTAAGAAAGAGCTAGGCTGAAAGCTTGGATAGCCCTACCCAATTTCTACTCCAAAATAAGGGAGAAATGAGTCTCCAAAATGGCATTCAGATCTTGAGTTGTCAGGATGTAGTAGCAGTTTTCTACAGAACCCAAAAGAAAAATGTCTTGTTGATGTGAACAAGCAAGAGCCCTTCCCAGCCTGACTCCGGAAGGACAGCGCCCACCCTCGAGGGGCAGGACGTGGCGAGCATCATCACGCTGCAGAAGACCCCCGGGGGCTAGAGGGAACGTGCGGGGCTCCCTCCGCTTCGTGCCCTCTCATGGCAGGTGACCTTGGCAGCCACTGAGCCCGCTTCCTTACCCACAAGGTGCTGATGAGAACGCCTCTGTGCCAGGACGTGTGGGCACCAGATGAGATGGGCGTGGCAGCAGCCAGCCCCAGGCCTGGTGCATCGGCAACCGGCCTCGCCCACACACAGGTGGCATTCCAAAGTCCCTGCCACCTCTCCAGAACGAAGCAAAAGGGCAACAGGGGGACAAGCGGGGCCAAGCGAGCTCCCAGCACTCAGCTCCTGCAGGCGGGCCCAGTGCCCAGCCCTGGGACCGGAGGCGAGCACCCAGCCACCCACTAGCACCGCCCACTTCCGCCTCACCAGCCCCAGCAGGGAGACGGCGCCAGCTTTTGTACCTTGAACACATTCTCACTGTTAATGAAGCCGAATCCCGAGAAAGTGGACTGCAGGTTGTTCAGTGCCTGGGGGGAAACCAAGGCAAGTCAGGTGACTTTGACATCTCTGCTCTTTCCTCTCTTCTGGGGGTCTGAGGGGGCAACCCACGTCCCAGCAGGGTGCTGGGTCCGTGTCCCCACTTGATTCCACTCTGTTCAGGACTCCATTCTGTGCAGCTGTCACTCCCCGCTTCCACATGTAACGTGTGCCAGGCCCAGGAGGCCCACAGACCTGCCTCATGTCTCCCTGGGCTGTGAAGATGATGGCTTCCAGGCCGTCGTCAGCGCACAGCACTTTCTCCTTCTCAATGACACTCATCAGCCTGGCAAGGATCTGGGCGTCGGTCAATTTTGTGTAGCGGAGAACTGCACACCGGGACTGAATGGGCTCTGGACAGAGACGGGAAGGCAGTGAGGCACACCTGCAGAGGCTGGCAGCACCCTGCTAGCTCTCTGGCTCCGAGGATGTAGCTACACCGTCCACATGGTCCAGCCACGCTTCTGGCCAGCAGGTGTTCAAGAGAGACTTGGGGAAAACAGGGCCAAATGTCAAAGTATCAACCAATAAGCAACGACAGAGGCCTTATGCCACACTGCCCAGGATGACCTTGACTAGTTGCCTTCCAGAAGGGGACATGATCCTTCAGGACAGACACATCCATGTGTTGCAAGCCCCTAGATGCACCAGTCTGGGCCCAGGGAGAAGACTCTAGAATTGTGGTGCGCGTTGGACACCAGGTCCTTCTGGGCAGCTGACAATTCAGTCAGGCTAGGATTGACACCCAGTCTCTCTTTTTTTTTTTGAGTTGGAGTCTCACTCTGTCGCCCAGACTGGAGTGCAGTGGCCGCTTCCGGCCACCGCAGCCTCGACCTGCTGGGCTCCGGCGATCCTTCCGCCTCAGCCCTCCAAGTAGCTGGAACTACAGGCGCGCGCTACCACGCCCGGCTAATTTTTTGATTTGTTGTAGAGATGAGGTCTCGTCAAGTTGCCCAGGCGGGTCTTGAACCCCCGGGCTCAGGCAATCCACTCACCTCGGCCTCCCAAAGTGCTGGGATTACAGGCTGAGCCACCGAGCCCAGCCGACACCCAGTCTCTCTAAAATCCCACGAGAGATTCCAGTCTGCAGCTGGGACTAAGACCCACTAGACAGACCTGTGCAGTCTGGAACTCTCCTTCACCCTGGCTTTAAACCACTACAATAGTTTCTCCATGACATTCTGGCCCCACTTTGGCCCTCTGAGCCTTCCTCTGTGCTGCTGCCACAGTGGCACTCCTGAAAATATTCCCACCTGTCAACTCTTCCTGCAAAGGCAACCCTTTCTACGGTTCCCTACCAATAACTCTCAACACAGCCCAGACCATTCTCCTACTCTGTAAAAGCTCCTGAAAACCCCGTCCTTTCCTCCCCTCCTAAGCCGTGTACTGTAGCCTCGCTCCCCTGGAATATGCCAGCTCCGCCCTCTTCTGGTGGTCTCTTCCCAGAGGACGTCCTCCTTCCAGTTTCCTCCCCTTTAATCACACCCATCTTTCAGAGCTCCTCTCAAACCCACCTCCTCACATAGCAGGCCTGGATCACCCCAGGCTAAAGCAGCCTCTCTCCCTTGGTCTCACAAATTTCAAAGAACACATATTTCTACTAATCTATCTGTAGAAAATAAGCCAGTTGCCAGGCTCGGTGGCTCAGCCTGTAATCCCGCGCTTTGGGAGGCCGAGGTGAGTGAACTGCCTGAGCCTGTGGGTTCGAGACCCGCCTGGGCAACTTGGCGAGACTTCATCTCTACAATAAATCAAAAAAGTTAGCCGGGTGTGATAGCGCCTATAGTTCCAGCTACTTGGAAGGCTAAGGTGGAAGGTTCAGCGGAGCCCAGCAGGTTGAGGTTGCAGTGGCCGGGAGCGGCCACTGGACTCCAGTCTGGGTGACAGAGTGAGACTCCAACTCAAAGGAAAAAAAAGAAAATAAGCCAGTCACCTCTCCAAGCACAGGAGATGCAGCAGATGAACACTAGGACAAGCTCTGTCCCATTCAGGGCATGGCTCACCATTTCAGGAAAAGGCACAGTACAATGAGACTGGACCTGAGAGGTTACAGATCCAGCTCTGGGAGCCCAGGCCAGAGAACAACTCAGCCTGGGGAGCCTGACTTTACAGCAGAGCTGAGTTCTAGCTGGGTCTTTACAGCTGAGGTTTTCCAGGCTGGAAAGGGAGAAGGAATAGCACATTCCAAGGCTAGAGTGAGAAAAGAGCACAATGCAAGACACGACGAGGCTGCCGGGCACAGAATGAGGGGACATGAGGCCGTGGGCAGATAAGACTCTGCGTGCGAGGCTGGGGGCAGGCATGGCTGTGCAGACCACAGGAGACTACCGCAGGGTTCAGCAGGGGAGTAGCAGGGTCAGACTTGATCTCAGATGACCCTGGCAGCTCCCCAGTGACTGCGGTACAAGAGAGGCCCAGGGAACCCTGCACCCGTCAAGGGGAGAGGGGCCGAAGCCGCAGACCTGGGTGAGAAGAGCAGGATGAGGGCTCAAGAGGCCACGGGAGTGGATGATCTCAGACGGCCTGTGGTGAGGGTTGGCTGTGGAGGAGCACACAAGCCGGGCTCAGATGACTCAGGGCTCACTGGTTTGGGGAGGCGCCCCTCCATCGGGGCATGAGCTCCTGGAAGGCGGGACCAAGTCCCAGACAGACTTGCAGCTGAGCAACATGAGAAGTTTCTTTCAGTAGGTTTCTCTCTTTTGAGCAGTACTAAAAGCTTAATTTGTAGAATTTAAATAAGTGTCAGAATCAGGCAGTCAGAGCCTTCCTCAAAGAAGGTATACTGCTCTCTTGTGCTCTCTTAGCTGGTGTGGCTCTAGGAGGCAGAGCTTCAAAATCAACTCTGCAGCAACCGGATCATGAACTGTCTCCTCTGAAGCAAAGAGATACGTTTCTATTAGATTTTGTTTACATGTTGGCTATATCCTTTTAGAAAATAAAAATAGGCCGGGTTCGATGGCTCAGCCTGTAATCCCAGCACTTTGGGAGGCCTAGGCGAGTGGATGGCCTGAGTCTGTGGGTTCGAGACCAGCCCAGGCAACTTGGCAAGACCTTGTCTGTACAATAAATCAAAACTAGCCAGGTGTGGTAGCACGCGCCTGTAGTTCCGGCTACTGGGAAGGCTGAGGTGAAAGGATGGCTGGAGCTCGAGCAGTTCAACGCTAGGATGGCTGTGAGCATGCCATTGCACTCCAGTGTGAGCGACAGAGTGAGACTCCAACTCAAAAAAAA